CAACTCGGGTTTTTCCCGTCAAACTCAGGACGGGGACGGGTCGGTCTCCACGAGTACGGGTTTAATTGTCATCCCTAATCAAAGCTGGCAGATTACATAATTAACTCCGTTGACATCCCCCCTCAAATTGATTCCGGTAAGTCGACCAACATCAATTTGCCAACTAGGAAATTATGATGCTGTCGGGTCAAAGATTTGGTGAAGATGTCGGCAAGCTGAATAGAAGTTGAAACATGAGGAAGAGTAATAATTTTGCGATCATAGGCTTCCCGAACGGAGTGACAGTCAACTTCTATGTGCTTTGTGCGTTCATGGTAAACTGGATTTGCTACAATTTGGATGACACTAGTATTGTCAGCGTGTAATGGTGTCGGTTGTGATGGAGGGAATCCAAGCTCGGTGAGAAGACCACGCAACCAAATTATTTCAGAGCATGCAACAGACATGACACGATACTCAACTTCAGTAGAGGACTTAGAGACAAAATCTTGTTTCTTACATTTCCATGAAATAGGAGCACTGCCCAAAAATATACACCAACTAGTAGTAGAATGCCTCGAATTAGGACACTCAGCCCAATCAGCATCACTGTAAGCTTGGAGAGTGATGGGTGAACCAGTTGGAAAAGTAAACCACGATGAGAAGTGCTAACTAGATAACGAATAATTCGTTGCACTTCGGAAAGGTGGAAATGTCTAGGAGATTGCATGAACTTACTGCTGTGTGGACAACAAAAGAAATATTTGGACGAGTGATGGTGATGTATATAAGACTACCAACCAGTTTGCGATAAAAGGTAGGATCTTCAAGAAGATTACTTTCATCTCTTCGAAATTTGACATTAAGTTCCATGGGGGTGTCAACAGGAGTGGAATTAGTGAGGTTTGCTAGCGCAATCAAATCTTGAATATATTTGTGTTGATTTACAAATATGCCAGTAGGTGCATAATGCACCTTTAAACCCAAGAAGTAATTGAGTCGGCTAAGGTCTTTCATGTGAAAAGTGGAATGCAACAATGTTTGAAGTCGAGAAATAGCCTTTTCATCAGAACCAGTCACCACAATGTCATCCACATAAGCAAGAAGTATGACAAGTCCTTTAGAAGTCCTTTGTAGAAAAAGAGATGGATCATATTGACTTTTGGTGAAGGAGAAACAAAGCAGTGTGGATCAAAACTTTTCAAACCATACTCGTGGTGCCTGTTTCAAACCATATAAAGAGCGTTTTAGTCTACAAACAGTATTAGATGGCGTAAGCATACCAATAGGAAGTTTGATGTAAACTTCCTCCTTGAGGTCTCCATAAGGAAAAGCGTTTTTGACATCCATTTGATGTAAAGGCAAGGATTGAGACGGAACTAGTGCTAGAATTGTGCGAACAATGGTCATCTTGACTACCGGTGCGAAGGTTTCATCATAGTCAAGTCCATACTCTTGTTTATTTCCTAGCACAACCAATCAAGCTTTGTAACGATCAATTGGTCCATTTGAGCGTAGTTTAATGGAAAATACAAATTTGCTGCCCAAAGGTTTAGGAGAGAGAGGACATGGCACAACATCCCATGTTTGATTTTCTTCAAGTGTTAAGAGTAAAGTTGTTATTAAGGATAAACTATATTTTTCAGGTGGCTTACGAACTCGAGTACTGCAACGTAAAGGTATTGGGTCTGTTGTTGGTACAAGATCGATCAGCTACCAAGGAATGATCTTGAGGAGGTCCAATGGTCTTACATCGTCTTTGATACACTAGGAGAGGTTTGTCTGTAGAAGAATTAGAAAACATTGGCAAAACAGAAATTGGAGAAGGAGGAGAGTCATGGTGAGTGGCAAAATAATATTTATTTTCTTGGAAAATGACATTTCTAGAGATACGGATCCTATCAAGATGTAGATCATAACATACAAAACCTTTTTGTTGAGAGGAATAGCCAAGAAAAACACATTCAATAGATTGGGCAGTGAGTTTATGACATTTGTGGGGAGGACGATGAACATAACACACACAACTAAAGATACGAAGAGTGGAATAATCAGGTAGATGGCCAAATAGTCGAGTGAAAGGAGAATCATTGTTTAATAATGGGGATATCAAACGGTTGATAAGATGAACCGCAGTGGATAGCGCTTCACACCAAAACCTGGAGGGCACAGAAGATTCCAACAAAAGAGTATGAACATCTAGTAAATGACGATTTTTCCGTTCAGCTACACCATTTTGTTGGGGAGTGGAAGGACAAGACTGTTGAGATAAGATACCATTAGATTGCAGAAATTCCTGAAATAAATGATGTATACTCCCCCCATTATCAGACTGTAGAATTTTAATTTTGGAAAAAAATTAGGTTTGAACATAAGCATGAAAAAATTTGAATGTAGAGAATACTTCATGTTTAGACCGCAAGAAATAGACCCATGTGAAACGACTATAATCGTCAATAAAAGTGACAATATTTGTACTTAGCATGAGAAGGAACAGGGGCTATCTCCCATACATCACTATGGATCATATCAAAAGGTTTTCTGACAATAGATTTATGTTTTGGAAATTTTACTTTTGCTAAGCTTACAAGAACTGCAATCAAAATCAACATGAAAAGGTTATGAAGTACATGTGAATTTGGATGTCCAAGACGCTTATGCCATATATGGTAATCTAAATGAGCAGAATTACAAGAAATAAAACGTAAGCCACGACTGGAAGACAAAGGTAAATGAAGTGGAAAAAGACGTCCAACTTTAGGCCCCTTCGCAATCATCGTCCCTGATCGTTGATCCTGCACAAGACAACTAGAGTTTGAGAATTTGACACGACAATTATTATCAACTAATTGACCAACAGAAATGAGATTAGTAGTGAGATCAGGAGAGACCAAGACATCAGTGAGAGAAGAAGAAATATCACTAATATCTGTTATAGGTAAATGATTTCCATAGGCAGTATGAATCGTGAGATTTCCAAAATATTTGGTGGCATTAGTAAGGAGTTGGGAATTGTTGGTCATATGGTTGGATGCACCAGAATCAAAGTACTAATTGAACAAATCAAGACCAATAGAGGACAACTTTTCTTAAACGATATCCGTGTATTCTGATCAAAGATTCATGAATTGAGAATAAAATTCTGAGATAGACATACTATCTTGTTGCAGAACCGCAATGTGGTGTTCAAGGTGGAAACGTTGAGCGGTGTTGTTCCGATGGTAAATTTGCTTCAGATAGACCCACATGCTAGTCGTTGTCTTGAAAGGTCGGAGATTGATAACAATGGTAGAATCAACAAAGCCGATGATCCAGGCCATGACTTGAGCATCGTGGACTTCCCATTTGGCATGAGCATCCTTCTCGATTTCTTTGTTAGGAACCAACGTGCTCCCATCGACATGACCCCAAAGATTTTTTCCTTTGACGAAGATCTCGAATTGAAATGCCCAAGCGGAGTAGTTCTTTCCATTAAGACGAATGAACAAAACTTCATATTTCTCAAAAGACATGATACCGATTGGAATTGGAACAAGAAACAAAAGCTAGGGTTTGCGAAACGGAGACGGGATTAGACGTGGATCGTAATCCAGTCTGATACCATGTTAAACTATAGAAAATGTGTGGGTAAAACTGTGTGTTTTCCTTTTGGAGATGTCTCTCATATATACATATATTTAATACAAACTAATATTCTGCCCCTTTCCCTTTAAATTAGCTAACAGCCATATATACAATTAATACAATTACTCTACTGCAATATATCCTATAAAAGAGAATAATTTTGATGACTAAATAATTTGGCAATCAAAGCTGGTAAATTACATAATTAACTCCGCCGACATCTAAGTGCAACTGCCAAACAAGAAGAGGGACACAACAAACCAAGTACAGATGCCAACCGACAGCAAAGCAAAAACCAAGGGCACAGCCAAAATCCATCATAGGGTGCAGTGGGTGTTGCTGAGTGAGATAGATATGAAAACATGTTGGAGGATACATACAAATAAACAATATTTCCATAATTTCTTTAATTATATAAATAGATATATTTCCATAATCTTATCAAATATCTTAAACATTATTTCCTTCAATATCTTAACGGAAACCAGGAAACTCTAACTATATTTGTTCAGAACCATGAACATCATCATGTATGGTAACTTCAAGAGATAAACATTAGGCCTTATTGTAACAGTCTTGGAATAAATATGTTGAATTGAATAAGACAAGAAGATTTATTCTATTTTCTTTTCTTCACGAATATTTCTTTTTTATGAAATGATTAAAATTCAAACTTTGTCTTAATTATTTCTGTCTTGTTTAATAGTTCTCTTTGTTTATACAGGTTATTCATCAGAAGTACAGGATTTCATACGACGAAATTATCAATGATTTATGTCCTGTAAGTCTTTATCCATCTCAAACTTCCTTGTGTGAGTGCGTGAGACCTGTTGTCCCTCATCAACATAATGGTCTAAGGAGTATTTTTTAAACATTGGAGATGCAAGCACCTGGGTGGTGATGATGGTAATTGCTCCGGAATCTTAAAGCTTGCCCTAGAGCCAATTGAGCTGAAAGCTCATGTCTATGGATTTGGTTGCCCAGGTTGTTAGTTCGTTCAACCTGGGGAGTGAATGAGGCTACTTATAGGACTGATATTCGGATGTATGTTTGCATTTAGTTGTTGTAAGGGGTGGATTAAAGGAGGCAAGGGATATTGATATATAAATGGTCGCAAAAGCATGATTTATTTTTCTGATGACTATAATGTATGTTTCTGTGATGTCTTTCCCTTTACATTTTTCTTCCCCTTATCTTCTACTTCTGCTTCTCCAGATGTTGAGTGTCCAGCAGCTATACAGAATATGTACACTTTACTGGGATGCTAACTACAACACTCGAAGCGTATCTCCAGATGTAAGTTTGTGTCTAGATTTTCCAATAACAGCAAAAGTCATTGCTGAAGTGGTACATGCTTGACTAATGCCGTTCAAATCTTCCTCCAGGTGCTTTCAAGCATGAGGATGCTAATGGCTGAGGACTCCAATAATGCTCAGAGTGATTCTTTCTTGTTGGATGACAGTTCTAGGTGAGGGTCTTTAATAACATTTGGTTTGGGCATTAGAACATGAACTATGTAGTGGGGAAATGATCTTTTGATTCTATTGGATAATTTTTTCAACAAGTACAAGAAAAGAAAATAAGAAGGTAAAGTAAATTAAACTTTATTCACAAGGAAAAATTAACAAACGCGTTACACTTTTATAGAAGTTCTCACTTGTTTAACTTCTACAAAAGCTGTAGTGCTTTACTGATTTTAATTTACGGAAGTAAGAAGTTTAATTCACTTCATCTACATTTTTCTCCTAAAGTACTTGAGGATAACTTTATTCAAGTAGGGGTCCTCAATTTATTTTTAGCGTAACACATGGTAAAAGTAGGTGCTACTCAATTATTTGCAATTCTTTGATGTCAATCTTCCGGGTTTTGTACTTGACTAGTTAGAACAAATGTATGATTTGCTAATAGGCTATCTACAACAAATGGCTTTTGCATCTTTTACTCTTTTACAGCATCCCCTTCTCAGTGGATGATCTTTCTACATCACTGCAAGAGAAGGACTTCTCAGACATGAAACCAGCGGATGAGCTTCTTGAAAATCCAGCCTTCCAATTTTTGAATGAGTAGGCGTAAAAAGCTCAGTATACTTCCTTCTAAATTTGTCTTCTCAAGCCTGACAACAAAAACAGTTGTTGGTCCTTGCCATTGTTGGTTGTAAATGCCTTTTCATTTATTCTCTCCACACTAGAAAAAAGAAGAAAAAAAATTTCACATCATTTTGGCCATAACCCTGCATTATGTAAAGTTATTTTTTCATTCTTTTGTTAGCATTCAATTGTAAAATGTTATTTGTCAATAGGGCAAGGATATTTTTAGCATTAGTGACCTTGCCTTGTATTTTCCATTTTTGCTTCTTTTCGTGCCCTTCTGATCAATTGAAGCACTTGTACATTTTTGTTTTGTGGGGGCCAACCACATTATAATTTTTGACTTTGTTATATGGCAAAACTTATATAGTAATGAATGAACTGTTAGTACCTACAATCTGAACTCTAGTTATTACTATTAATATTATTCTGGGGGGTCTTGAAATATCTGATGTGACTTTTTTCTAGCAGTAAAAGTGTCACGTTACTAGTAACTGCTCGAATTGACATTTACTACGTCATCCTTAACTGAGACTGTGATGTTTCATGTAAAAAGGGGTTAGTGACCATGCATCATTAAATGTACTAAATAGTATATTTTTTTGTACTTTTTGATGAAAAGTTGCCTAACTGGGCAACAAGGCCTAATGGATTTGGTGGTTAGAGATAACCGTTTTGGGTCTTATCAATGCATAATTCTGATATGCTGCTAGCTGTTATTGAAGAGTACTTCAAACTGTACTTGTGATTTTTTCTTAAAGCTTTTGGTGTGGTTCGTTATTCACGTATCTACATGGATATTTTTGTCCATCTCACGTTAAAATCAAATATTTGAGATTGTCCTTCGATTATATATATTACTTGTCTTATAACCAGTGTTTTGTCCTGGAACCTACCTTTTGGGATTACAAATTTGATTTGGAAAATAAAATTGAACAAATGGGGTGGGCTTGTTTGATAATTGATTTAAAAGGTTCATCAATGTTATACCTAAACTTGAAACTCATGAATGATTAAAATTTTTCGTTTATTGTTAAAAAAATATAGAATAAGTTCATTACCTGCCATACTGTAACTAAAAATAACTCAGTTTCAAACTTTAGGATGCAGCTGTATGTAACATTACTGACTTTAAGATGGTCAACGTAGAAGAAGTTGATGATGAAATTATCTTATATAAACAAATGTGATTGTTGAATAAAATTATGCAAAATTTGAAAATGGATGTTGAATATAGAGGAAATACGGTTTGAGATAATTTCCTTTGTGTAGAAACTACACATAGGGTAATCTATTTATAACAGAGAGAGGTACAACTAAAAGAGTAACCGAAAATAAACAAAATAAATAAAAGATATTGTTTGATATTGTGGTTAACAATATCTAACAATATCTAAACAAATATCTAACACTTCCCCTCAAGCTGGAGCATACAAATCGTATGTGTCAAGCTTGTTATAAATATAATCAATTTTAGGCCTCCATAAAGACTTAGTAAAAATATCTGCTAACTGATCACTTGAGTTAACAAACTCAGTCTTGATGTCTCTAGACATAATCTTTTCTCGAATGAAATGACAGTCAATCTTAATGTGTTTGGTCCTCTCATGAAAGATAAGATTAGAACTAATATGAAGAGCAGTCTAATTGTCACACACAAGTGTCATTTGAGTGACATCTCCAAATTGTAACTCTCCAAGCAATTGTTTGAGTCAAACAAGTTCACAGGAAGCTGAGATCATAGCTCTATATTCTGCTTCTGCACTGGATCTTGCCACAACACTTTGTTTCTTACTTTTCTACGAAATCAAGTTACCACCAATAGAGACAATATCCAGATGTAAATCTTCTATCCGAAGCAGATCCTGCCCAATCAGCATCTGAGTAGCAAATAACTCTTGTATGGTTATTAGAACCATATAATAATCCTTTTCCAGGAGATCCTTTAATATACTTTAAGATACGAATGACTGCATTCCAATGATCTTCACATGGAGAATTAAGAAATTGGCTTACCACACTGACTGCAAAGGAAATGTCAGGACGAGTAACTGTAAGATAATTCAATTTTCTAACTAATCTTCTATACTGCTCAGGATCAGATATAGACTCCCCCTAATTTGGTAGAAGTTTAGTATTAGGATCCATGGGTGTATCAACAGACTTTGAACTCATCAACCCAGTTTCCTCCAAAATATCCATGACATGCTTCCTCTGAGATATAACAATACCATAATTGGACTATGCCACCTCAATACCCAAGAAATATCTAAGTTTGTCAAGATCTTTGGTCTGAAAATGGTGACATAGATGTTGTTTCAACTGAGAGATGTCATGGTTGTCACTACCTGTAAGAACAATGTCACCAACATATACTATCAAATAAACACATCCAGCACTCGAGTGTCGATAAAAGATAGAATGATCTGCTTTACATTGAGTCATACCAAATTGTTGAACAACTTTGCTAAACTTTCCAAACCAGGCCCTAGGAGACTATTTTAAGTCATATAAGAATTTGTGATGACGACATATCATCCCAGAAGACTCCTCCTGAGCAACAAACCCAGGAGGTTGCTCCATATAGATTTCTTCTTGCAAATCACCATTGAGAAAATCATTTTTAACATCCAGTTGATAAAGAGGTCATTGTTAAAGAGCAGCCATAGCGATAAATAAACGAAAAGAAGCCATTTTCGCCATGGGAGAAAAAGTATCTCCATAATCCAACCCAAAAATTTGAGTATAACCTTTGGCCACAAGACGAACTTTGAGGCGATCAATAATACTATTAGGTCCAACTTTGATAGCAAACACCCACCTACAACCAACAATAGATTTTCCAGACAGTAACGGGACCAATTCCCAAGTTTCACTATTATGAAGAGCACTTAGTTCATCTAACATGGTCTGACGCCAACCAGGATGGACTAAAGCTTCACAGACATTTTTTGGAATGGTCATAGAAGAAATAGAGGAAAGACATGTATAAAAAGGTAATGACAGTCGATGATAACTCAAAACAATATAATGGGGAGAGGGATTACGTGTAGAACGGATACCTTTTCGGAGGGCAATGGGAAGGTCAGACTCAGGTGTTAGATCCGGAGGAGACAGAGTAGTTGACACTTGAGTGGAGTCACATGGTGGTGGTTGTGATTGATTTCGGCAACTATAAATCTGAAGAGGCAGTGGAGAAGAAGCTAACTACGGAATAGGAACTCATGGTGAAGAAGACACAGTTAGAGGGTCACACACAACAGGAACATTAAATGTTCTAGGAGTGTTGACAAGATTAGATGGAGACAGAGGTGAAGATTGACTTTTAAAATAAAGAGAGAACTCATCAAAGGTGACATCTGCAGACACAAAATAACGGTTAAGAGAATGAGTAAAACATTTGTATCCTTTTTGTGATCTTGTAAACCCTAAGAAAACACATTTATGTGATCTAGGAGAAAACTTATCAAGACCAGGACTTAAATTATGAACAAAACATGTAAACCTGAAAACTCTTAGAGGTAAGGAATTAAGAGGTTCATGAGGGAATAAAATGGACTAAGGTATTTTATTATCTAAAACCGAAGAAGACATGTGATTAATGAGATAACATGCAGTAAGAAGAGCATCACCCAAAAAATGTTGAGGAACCTCTCCATGAATTAAAAGAGTGCGAGTTGTTTCAATAAGATGTTTATTTTTGCGTTCAACTACACCATTTTATTGAGGTGTATAGGCACAAGAAGTTTGATGCAGGATACCGTGAGAAGCCATGAATTGTTTAAAAGAATGAGAAAAATATTCACGACCATTATCACTGCGCAAAACTCTAATAGAAACAACGAAATGTGTTTGAATTTCATTGAAAAAAGTTTGAAAGATATGAAATAATTTAGAACGATTTTTCATCAAAAATAACCAAGTGCATCTGGGATAATCATCAATGAAAGGAACAAAGTATTGAAAACCTAAAGTAGACTTAACGCGGTTAGGTCCCCAAATGTCAGAGTGAACCACGACAAAAGGGGACGAAGCACCACGTGTGACACTACAAGGAAAAGAAGTACGACTATGTTTGCCTAATTGACACGACTCACACGCCAAACTAGACAAGTTAGACAAGGCAAGGACAAGTTTCTATAACTTGGCAAGACTTGGATGACCTAACTGAGCATGAAGAAGAGAGGGAGACTCCATAACTGTACCAACATGTGTAGAGGGATGAAGATAATAAAGACCATGAAATTCATATCATGTATCAATTACTTGTTTCGAACTCTGATATTGTAAACACACAGAATTGTTGGTAAAAGAAATAACACAATCAAGAAAATAAAGTAAATAAAATAAACAGAAGATATTGTTTGATATCGTGTTAACAATGGAGTTTGAAATTTTGCAATGAAATTGTGGTCCAGGTTTTGAATTGCATAGTTGAAACGAAATGGTGGAGTGTTTTGATTTGCTTACGTGTTGTTTGTTTGTAGGAAGGAAAGTCCAAACCCTGGTTTCATCCCCTATTTGGGAGTCAACAGAAAATGAATGAAAGGAACCCATTTGATGATGTAGAACTTGTTTGCTACAATAATCTGCACATTTAGTTTTTTTGGAAAAAATAATCATGAAAAGTCTTTGGATTGGAACTTTTTTCGGCCAACCCATTTGGAATTCACATGGCTCCGGCCCCAAAAGTTTACCCCTATAGTACAGGCACAAGGGTTGCAACCCTAGTAGCCCTACCCCAAACAAAGGGGTTTGGGACCATTCATCAATTGGACCACCCTATGGTTAAATTTCATTAATTTTTCTGATTGTATTATCTAATGGTCACAATGATGAGATCAAGAATTTTGATTTTTGAATTTGGATAGGCTTTGTTGTCAAGGAAAAATCTAAAAGAATTAAAGTTTGTTCTGGCTAGGTTAACATTCTGGTCCATGAATGTTGTTTCACGAGGTTCCCCTGAAATCCTACCCAATATTTGGTCCATTCCCAATGGTGTCAAGGTCCTCCCCCTATGCTCTACCTATAACTTCTAAATCTCTCACTATCCTACCACCCCTACGAGATTTTTATTTTTGTGTTTTTTTTAATAGATTATTCCAAAATTTAATCTTTTAATAATATATACAATTTTTTTCTTGCAACCACTCACATTCAAAGGTTTGATTATGTTGCCTCTATTTTATTATAAAATTTAGGCTCTGTTCATTTGTATAAAAAGTGGAGAATAAAAAGTAAAATGAAAAATGACTAATAAAAAAAAGTAAAAAGGAATAATTTTCAATGTTAAAAAAGTAGTAAAGAAAAAAATTATTGTAACGGACATATTTACTTTTTTCTTCGTATATTAATAAATAATAAATAAATATAAAATAAAAAATAAATAAAATTATAAATATATTTAATGATTATTAAATTTAGAAATCAAAATTATAAATACATATAAAAATTACATAACTTTAAATCCGACCCTCTGTTCCAAAAAAAATCGTTTTTATCTCACTTTCCCCTAAAACAAATATATATAATTTCTATTCTATTTTACCACTTTTTTTTCTTATTTTGGCATACTTTCTTTTCTTATTACTTAACGGAGTCTCGTGTATAAACATGAATCAAACCAAAATTTTTTAAGCCGCATAGGACTTTATAAAAGTTGAAGAAGCAAATAAAAGAATGAAAATTTGGGGTACATGTGTAATTTTCTAAAGATATTATTGAAAAAGAATGTTGCTATCAAATCTAAGAAAGAAAAAGATTTATGGGACAAGTCTTAAGTGCCATCCATTCATCCAATGAAGTTGAACAAACCATAATTATCTCTAATAATTTCTTGTCATTGAATTAGAGAAATGGGAAAATTGCATGAGCCAATAGAAAAAGAATAGACATTACATCCATCCAAAAAGTTTTCACATTGGTCGACATGCTATCGACAATTTATCATTCGTATGCCATGAACTTTCTCCACTTGGAACATCACAGATGTTCAAACTTAATTTGACGAGGATAAAGAATTTTATTGTAAGCATCAAGCAAATCGAAGAAATTAATGATACGAACAATAAACACGAGTTACGAAAATGACAACTATTCTAAGATTACGTATAATTAATAATTATCCTAAAAAGGCATTTTCCCTGTTTTTTTTTTAACTTGAATTATTAATTACATCTAAAATGATGTCAATAAATAAAATCAACTACAAACACATATTTAAAAGTTTAGAAACTTAAATCTTCACTCTCTTGTATTAAAAAGTTAACATGATAATTGCAATAAAAAGGAAAAATAATGAATATAGACCATTATTTTTAAAATTCGATGGTTACTTAACTCATAAATATATAAATTTAGAGTTTAAAAGTCAAAAGGTAAGATTTAATAAAATACTATTTTTATAATAAATATGTAATAAATTTATTTATAGTAATATTTAAAAAATAATAATAAAATTTATTATCATGATCACCATAAAGTAAATATAAAATATATTTTAAAATGTACAATGGATAATAGTTAAAATAAGATGAAAATATAATAAAATAAATATTATTTAAATTGATGTAACTAATATAAAATAAAAATTAAAAAATCTATTATATTTTTTATCAAAATTGGTTTAATATAAAAATTTAGTTAATTTTTTAAATTTTATCTATTTAACTAAAACTTAATTATTTAAAAATGATGAATTGACTTTTAGATAATTTTAATTGACCGCAGTCAAATCCAGTTTAAAAAAAATTAATTTTTTAATTTTCAAGTTTAGAAAAAAAAACTAAATCAAATTTATTTTAAATTTAATTTATGTAATTTTATAATCTTTCTTATTATTTTCTTCCATGAATTAAAATGTACAAGATATTATATATATATATATATTAGAATTGACAGCAGGCAGTAGCTGTCTAGCAGAAAACAATGATGCCCTAAAATTCTGGTATAATCAAATATGATTGAACTATCTCGCTATGGTATCCTATTAATAGTTTTGTGCTTAGGATTTGTGAAAATGATGGCACCATAAGCTATAATAAACTAGGTAGAGAGGAAAAGCAATCACTGTCATGAAATTGCTTGTCACAATAATAAGAGATGCAATCCCTTCGATCACTTAGCTTTTGTCTTATATGTGATATTAATTAATATGGTGATGGGAAGGTCCAAGTTGGTCATTTTCAATCCTCACATGCCACCAAAAATGCGTCTCCAACCACGACTTTCCACAATTTATTTATGAAAGATATATCCCTATCTATTTAAGCACACACATCTTCTTCTACATTCACAAAATTTGTGGCTTAGCGTTGAAAACAATTGCAGAAAGTGAATATGTTCCCCTTTCTTTTCAGTGTCAGGATTTGACTTGGAATGACACCAGAGTTCCCACTCTGGGGGGCCATCATGGTTTCTCATCCAGTTTCATGAACTGGAAAACATTTTTATCAGATACAGTGTTCAATTCATCACTTTTTCCATAACCCCTTACATATTGAGTTAATTGAGAAAGAAAGATTGTGAAAGCTGCATAACTTGTTATCACAGATTAGTAACCTTTTCAATGATTCATTATGTTTATTCAATTAACAAAAAGGGTAATATACAAATTAATATTCATGCCATTCTATATATCGATTCTAAAGTACAAAAACAATCTGAATATGCAAATTAATTATGTTTCAATGCAACAACAGTAAATATGCATATTCTATATTAAAAAAAATGCATAAATTATGATTTTTTCCTTCTATGATTGAAAAACAAGTCAACATCGATGATAAGAACAACATAAATGTATAGAGAAGTAAGAGGTTATTATATGTCTAAATATTTAATCAATTACTTTTAACCAAAGTTTTCACTCCTGTTAAGTTCACTAACAAATACTTTTCCAAATAACTCATATTAGACAAAGCCTATACTTTTGATTTGACATTTTAAGATTAATGTGTAAAGTGTTAAAAACAAAATGAAACTATTTAAAATCAAACAAATTAATATACATTCTTTCTTACTCTGAAAACGACCCACAAATAAATGATAAAAAAAAAAAGAATTAAACAAAAGATAGATATATATAGATATTTTATGAAAATATTGGAAGTACCAAGTGCACATGTAGTTCTTAATTAGTATAAAATGAAAGGTTGGTAATTAATAAGTTTAAATATTTCAAATTGTAATTTAATTAAGTAGCCATTCCATGTGATATCGTGTTACATTTCTCATCTTCTCATATGTGTTTATGGTCAACCAGTTTTCATAACATGCATTTAATAATTAATTAATTAATTAATTAATTAATCAATCAATCAATTCACAAGCATCTAATCCTTCAGCCATGTTCTTCGTTTTCTTTTGGTAAACGCCTGGTCATGTTCTAACCATATTCAATTCCTTTCTTCCTAATTAGTTCAGACATGCATAATTAAATACTACAAAGATCATGTTATGTTTCTTTTTAGTTTTATATAAAAATCTCTTTGCCGTTATGGTGGTTATTTTGTGATTAGTAAAGAGTGTTGTATAATTATTAATATATTAATCATACTTTGCCTTGGATAATCCCTTCTAATGCATATATTAATGCTTCCGATTAATTAACTTCAATTTTTGTACAATTATATGCATTTGGTCAAATTCTCTAACAATTTCGACTACCCATATTTGTTGCATGGAATAACATTGATTATATATAAAAATTCCATTTATATGAATCAATTTATCAGTATATGTTCACTTAGCTTAGTGTGAAATAACAAGAGAAAATAAAATGTAATAAGTTTGATTAAAAAAAAGTCAAAGGAAAATGAAAATTAAAAAATTATTATTATATAAACTGTCGGTCAATAAATATAATATTTGGATACCATTAATCAAAAAATGATGAGTCAAAAGTTTGACCGTTGAACTATATATCATATCCCATGTTTATAATTTGAGCTTATCTCCCAAATTTAAGGGGTTCTTTTTAATTAATTCAATGATGTTTTTTTAGTGATCAAGATTATAAAAAAGTACCGTTTAATTTTCTTTGGTTATTTTTCTCTATAGATGTATAATATGTTGTGGGATCAATTAATGTACTTGTTATTCTCTGCATGTACTGAAGTTTATACAAAATGAAAACATTTGTTTTTAGAAGTCGAATTTAACTAAATATGTCACTTTGTTTTGAGATATTGAAATCTCGATAATTTAAATGAAATTTAAAACTTATACACTATTATTATAACTAGTAAAAAGTAAAATAGAATAACAACATAGAGTAAATTGAACTATCTCATAAATTAAAATTAGTTTAATAAATTTATTTTTTTAAATCTTTCATCAAAATTTTCAAATTCGGGATATATAAATTGATTTTAATTTCAGAAAAAAATTAATTTATTTTTTGTATTTTATTTTTTATAAAAATTTATGGAAAAATATGCGAAGAAATTGTTACTTTACTTTCAATTATTAGTATGTCATATTATAAATCAAGAAAAGTTACTGGAGAGATAAATACTTAAAGAAATAAAAACAACAGTTGATAAATATTTATGAAAAAATTATTATAGTTTTGAAAAAATTAGTGTTTTAATTGTTTTTTTTATATAAAATTTGTAATAAATATATTTTAAAGATATAAACTGTATTGATTAAAATTTGTAATAACTAAATATTTTTAATATATAAACTATATTTAGATTTATAATGAAGCATTTATTTCTTTCATTTTACCTTTATTATTAAAACCTCTCTCTCTCTCTCTCTCTCTCTCTCTCTATATATATATATATATATATATATATATATATATATATAAGCTATTAATAATTAAATTTATGATTTATAATAGGAGATAAATTTATTGGTGAAAAGTTGCTTTCTTAGTTTGTGCTTTTATAATATTAAAAGCGTGTTAGGAATATATAAACAAACAAATTGATGGAATAAATTAAGAAGAAAAGAAACACGGAAATGTGATAAATTTGATTAGTCTTGAAACATGTCACAGAAGGACACATCTACGAAACAGTGATGTGTTTGTCGGTTTTATTCATATGATACTTAAAAACAGATTTTAGAAAATAGTTTTCTTTTTTCTTTTTGACAATGACTCAATGTGCCAATTTTCAATGTATCAATGCATTCATATTAGTATTAAATGTAGTTTTAATTCGTCTCTGAAAACTAAAATCAATAGAGAGAAAAAAAACTTATAAACGTTATCTTAATTGATATTTATGGAAAAACTATTTTGTATTAAACTCTATGTATTATGACATTAAATTATATGTATAGGTGGAATAAAAAAATGTGATAGGATAAGGATGTCTGATTGAATAATAGAAAAATTGTGGCGGAAGAAATATTAATAAAAATATTATATTAGTAAAACAATATATAAATATCATTAATTTTAAATTTGAATAATATACATAATAAATTTTAGTAATTGAGTTTTAATTTGGGATGTGTGAGAATGAATGATGGAAATAGATCACATCACATGGAATAGAGAAGCATACCATAAGAAACTGAAAGGACGGTTACGATTGTTTCTAGGTCTCCACCACCACCCACACTGTTTCTTCTTCCTCGGTTCATGCCTTTTCACATGTGCTTCCAAAAACTATGCTTAGTCTTACAAACTTTTTTTTTTTTTATTCACAAAAATTCAACATGTAACAAAATTAAAAACATTATCTATTTGTTATTCTATTAAGTCAACAAGTAGTCTTTTAAGTTTGAGAGAAAGTAGAGTTTGAGAGAGTACTAGGCCATCATAAAAGAACAATCACTTAATCTAAATATGGACCTATTACTTACTTTGGAACCACCCCAAATCAAAATTATACCAAAAAAAATAAAATACTATTTTTTTTTATTATAACCTATAAACCCTCCTTCTTAATCCAAATTAATTATATAAATAGTTACCTTTTTATTAGTAAAGTGCTGAATTTAGTTCTTAACTCTACATGTTTAATTAATATAATATATAGTAGTAGTCCTTTTCATTGGAAAACATATGCTTGGAATAAAGCACCGAACAAAATAATGATGATCACAATAATATAAGTTAAATCAAGTGCATGAAAGTGGGGAGGGATACGTGGAACGTGCATGAATCTTCTTTCACTCAAAACAGCCACGTAGATATCATAGACTTCGAAACTTTCCTTTTCTCGAAACTCAGCCTTGAGATTCGACCTATCTACGTGTATTGAACCATTCTTCCTCTCTCTTTCACTGTGTTGGTTCTGACACACGGAATTTTCTAGGGAAACAAAAAGAGTATAAAGATCGAGAAGAGTGTATGAAGCACTATGATCTCGTGGTTCAATGAGTTTGGTAATGGTAATAATAAGGGAGGTATTCATCGATCTCATGGAACTGCACATGTTCTGCATAGATAAACCTAATTTGTACCAAGAATATATACTAAAAAAACACAGATTAACCTAACCTGTGTTATACCTGTTAAAGTTTCAGATAAAACCCATGTAGGGTTAAGCTTAAGTACTGCTCCCGATATGTGGGAAGATTAATAAATGAAAAGGATTGAAAAATAGTTCATTCAAACTATGTTTTGCATAAATAAACTTAATCTGTTAAGTAAAAAAAATAAGGAGTGTTCTAAATTAATTATTAGTCTACCAACAATTTCTTTTGTTTGCCCTAATCATTTTAAATGTTCAATTTATTTTATTAATCTATTTAACTATTAATCAATAATATTGTAACGTACCAAAATTTAAATACATCAATAAGATATAATTAAATGTTTAACAACCAACATTTTTTTTAAGGTTTTGTTTGATAAAGAGAAAAGAAAAATTAAAAGGTAAAATAGAGTAGAGTTATATTTTCTCTTTTTATAAAAAATAAAATATCTATTTTAAAAAGTAATAAATAAAAATTTAAAATTTATATAATCACAAAATTGTGTATAATTATTAATTATTATTTTTAAATAAATATTTTATGACAAAAATATATATTTTTAAATAATTATACTAAATATATGATTATAAAAATGAATAGAACATATGATTATTTACTAACATTAAATATTCATATTTAATTCAACAATACTAAAAAAAAATTATCCACATACATTTAAATTAAAGTCATAAAAACAAAAGAAGTATTATAGAAAAATATCTTTATAAAATATTTTTTATTTATTTTAAATTTATTTTCTCATATTTAAATGAGAAGTAAAATACATAATTTTAGTAAAAAATGACATAATTAATTATTTTTGCTTATTATAAAAAGAACATATATTTAATATCTGTTCTATGATAGTTGATACTTTCATCTCTTCACTTTTCTTTGAACAAATGGATCTTAAACACATCCAACTTTAAACCAATAAGGATATTAAGGTTATATACAAATTAGGTTGAATATATGGATTAATCAAACCAATTATTCGACTCAATAAAAATATTTTTTATTAGATTAGATGAAGTTTTTGTATTAATTTATATACATATTTTTTCTCGAACTAACAAACTGAAATTTAATTCTAAAAACTAGTATTTCAAATACGATAATAGACACAAACACAATATTATTACAGGGGGATGAATATTCTTGTTAACTAATCTTAATAAATAATGAATTATGATTTATTAGTTAAAACTATGAGTATTATATAAAGAGTGTAGTTTTAGAGAAAAGTGAACGTATATAATTTAATTTTAATGGGCGGAGTAATAGAGATGGAAAGTAATTAATTAAAGATTAACAGTGGAACCGAGATGTTTGAGCAGAAACTAATCCAGAAATTAATAAGAAAATGTGGATGATTTGTGCATGGAACGTGAGGACGGAAGAGGGTCTACGAGGGCGGCACCTAGGGTACAGTGACAGAAATTTTACATAAAACAAAATTAAAGAACACATTTCATGAATGAAAGCTTAAAACGATGGCAATGGCTGCCACATGCATCGCCATGGTTGTGCCAGGTGCACTGCCCCTAACATGCTAATCCCTTCCTCCTCACTCATTCCAACAACATTTCAAACTACAACATTAATTACCATACGTCACCAAAAACAATATTATTCTAATTATGTAGCAATTTTTATTTTAAAATAGCCACCCCTCACATCCACATTTCTTTGTTATAACTTTCCTTTTTCATTATCTTATTGAAAAATATATTTTGACAACCCAAATCTATAAGTAATTCTGTTTTAATATTATAATAATAATTTTATTTTACTTTTATTTTTATTAAATCAGTCTATAAAATATTATATTAATAAAAGTGAGTTGTTTAAAGGGTTGTATGATTTCTGGTTGTCAAAATATCACCACTCTACCATTTTTTTTTTATTCATAAAATTAATCTCCTTTTGTCACCTTTTTATTTTCTACCGTCTCTTGTGTCCTTTTTTTTACTTCAAGTTGAAGTTTTCCTTTCAAATCTATTAGGTTAAAAATCATCATGTGCTTCTTTTGACTTCTACAGGCATAATCAATGTCATTGTGTATATGATTGCACAAAGAAATATGTTGACAATTCTATTTAAAAAGGGAAACAAAAAAAATCAAAAGCGACTTTTTTCCTGCTACTATATATTTGAAATTATATGAAGCATTGAACCTGAAATTCGTTTTCATGACCACAAAGACTATATGTTTTTCATGATGAAAATATGTAAAACTTTAAGATGTAAGTATTTTCATGATCAAAACATCCATAGAATGATCTTCTATAATGTTTCGATGTTAAAAAGTTATATATGATTAAACAAACCATCGTTCATGTGTGCTTAAATAAGGTATCATCCACTCCTATTTTCTATCTATGCATGCTTAAAGTGTCTATGTAATTAGGCATCAAAACTTTTAGTTTTACAAAACCACCAACAAGATTGTATGAAAAGTTTTTTTTTTTCGTAAGAAACTCGTTAATATAAATATGAGTTGAAATGAATAAAAAATGAAAATTTAAAAATTTAATATTTTTTTATATAATTAAATATATTTGATATTGTCCTTCAAAAATATTTCACACATATTTATTTATAAGTTATTCATTAAAAGTTATCTTATAAGTTAAATCTTAATATGTTTTCTTGAAAGATTGTTATCAATTTTTTAACATATTATTGACATGTATTTTTTAATATTTGTAACACCCGTTGAAAAATAGGGTTTATTCTTCATTACATTTGAAGTGAGAAAAGAATAATTGTATTAGAAAATAGTAAAAAACAATTAAAACAAAGGGGAAAAAGGTTAAATTTTATCTCATATATTTAATGTTTTTTTTTTCGAGAAAAAAAAAAAACTTTTCTAGTTAATTTTTTTTCTCAACCTTTTACAGAAATAAAATTTGAAGCGAGAAAGAAGAGTAGTTAGATCAAAGATGATTATAAACTCCCTCCATGATTTTTTAAATAAGTAATATTATACATATAAAAAATTCAACTTGGTTCAAAATAAATAAGAGAGCAACAATTCTTTCTACCATCTTCTGTTCTAACTTGTTCATTGAGAGTTACTTTCCATGGCTTCTCAATTATTATTCAAGTTGCTACACAAATTACTTTTTCTAGACCAATCTCCGTTCGAGGTGCTCTCATTTCCTTGTCAATATTTTTTTTTCAATTTAAATTAAATTATGATATAAATTAAACTTCACTCCTTTATATGTTGTTGTTTAAGGTTGTTCTATAAGAAATAAAAATGTTGGTGATTAATCTAAACTTAATAAAATACCTTGGTTCATTTTAACTAAAAGTTGATATTATATATTATTGAATGAACTTTTAATTTTTATTATTGAGATCTAAATATATTGATTCACATTTGCACTATCAACTTTCTAGGTTTTGAGATAAAAAGATTTTGAAATGCTGATGAT